TAAAAATAAATATTAGCCAATTTTTAAATATTTTATATTTTTAAAAATTAGTATTAGATAGTATTTAATAATTTAGAAAATATTTTAGAATATTTAATTATTAAAAAGTATTGATATTTTTTATTTCAACTTTGAAAGATAGATATAAGAGGGTATGAGAAAAAATAAAAAATAAAAAAAATGGAGAAAATACAAAATAGAAAGTGGGAAAGATGAGGAAAAAAAGAGAAATAGGAGAGAGACAGAGAGAAAATAAGAGAGAGAAAAGAGATAAAAATTAGAGAGAAAAAAAAGAAAAGAAAGAGGAAGAGGGAAAAAAAGAGGAAAAAGAAAGACAGAAAAGAGAAGGGAGATAGAAAATAGAGTATAAGAGATGAGAGAGAGAAAGACAAAAGGAAACATAAGAGATAAAGATATATATGTGAGATAAGAAAGAAAAAATATGAAGAATTTCAAATTCTATTTTTTTAAGAGAATTTAAAATTTTATTATTTTAAGAAATTTCACAAATTCTTAAATTTTTTTTTTTATATAATTTTTTATCTAAACAAAGCATTTATTCTTCATCGGTGAAAGTGAGGTGATCATTAGCCGTGATGTGACTAACAATCCCCTCAAATTTGTCTTGGGAGATAGTGTGCGATACATATGCTTCGTTCAAGACTTTCAACAGAGCTTGCCGATGCGGTTCGGAGCTTAGGATCAACGACAACAGAGTGATCTTTGTTGGCGTCCTATGAAGTTGATCCACGATGGAGTACTCGCTCTGTCGGATATACTTTAACAGCTCATTAGTCTCCTCCTCGGATTCTTTATTTTCCTCGGTTTTTTCTTTTTCTTTATTCTTGGGAGCTTTATCATGAAGATCTTCGGGAGTGTAGATCCTGCTAATCCTCCTTAATTCATTTGAGAAATATTATACAACATTTTTTATACATTATTATATTGACTTAATTATTTAAAAATATTAGATAGTGACTCTTATAAGAGAGGTAAGAGAGTTCTACACAATTTCATGAAACTTTACCGGATATGAATGCAATTTACTATAAAAAAAACTGATATGATAGGAAAAAAAAAAGAAAAAAAATGATTGAACTGAAAATAAGATGAATGAGAAAATGAATATATATATTAAATATTTTTCTTATATATCAGAAGAAACACGGTAAATTATTAATTATTTGATAAAACTATATAAGAAGATAACAAAACTCATCATTTAATGGATCTTCTATGAATCTTATCAAATGATGTGTGTTAACACTTTTTTTTTTTATGTAATCATTTTATTTGGCTGAAAAGCAAGATCAAAGCCGAATTGGACCAATTATTTACATAAAAAAAGGGTCCCAAAAATATGAATTCTGTTACATTTTAACTTATTTTAATGTACTTATTATGTGACCTAACGTCTTTGCGGACAGCAAATTAGTCCTATTTTACAATTTCTCTTTCTACAACTTGGAATGGATCTTTAACTTTTTATTTATCAAAATTACAATCATAATAATAAAGCTTCAACTTAAAATTCTATGGAAACTACTCTAACCTCTTGTTATTATGCTGATATAGTGATCACTTTCGTTCAGTTTATTATTGATTTAAAAATATTAGACTCGTGAATGCCCTAAATCCCTTCTTTTCTATTACCATCCATTATTCACCCAAGAATTGAATAATGAAATACAGTAGACAAGAAAATGTGAGACATGATCTGCTTAAAGGGGTGGCTGCTGCAAAATTAGTTGAACCCGTGTAATACACAGGCCAAATTTTATTGGAAAAATGCATTATGCGTATATGTAATGACAAAAAGAGTATAGGTGTGAAGAATGCGAGTCAATACAGTCCTATGGTAAGTAAGCCCCCAAACATTGACTTTTTGACATGCCATTTCTCAACATGAAGTAATGCAAAAGGTTAAGACTATGTTCATCATGTAAAAACTAATTAAGAATAATTCTTTTCTTCATAGTCAAGGAATCACTTCTAGGATACAATCAGTGGCCGCCCAGAGTTTCCTATTTAAGTCAAAGGCGGCAGAAAATGGTACAAATGGTTATCTGTCCATATATAGAGACACTGTCATTTTCTTCTTAGACAAGAACGTGTATGGAGAAAATTTAGGTATAACTTTGGTGTTATTTTTTAATCAAAGTTTGAAGTTTTATTTTGTATATACCATTAATATACATTAATGAAATTTATATTAAATACAATTATATAATATTTGAGTAAAATTCTAATTGTGGTGGAAGAATATTACTAATCGCATACAATAAATCATACCTAAGTTTTGTCTAATGTATATTACTTCATAAGTACTGCTAGTATTTTACTTCAATAATATGTGTTGTGATATAAATAAAATTTCACATCATTAGAATATAACAAAAAAAAAGATTTATAAAATATGCATAATCTCCATTGGTATGAGATTATTTAATAGATAATTGTTAGGATGAATCAAGGGGATACCCACACATGTCCACATTAAAATGATATTGTTCATTTTGAGTATAGCTGTCAAAATGGGTTTTGACCTATGGGTCAACCTAGCCCACCTTGAAAATAGGTCGGATCGGGCCAAAAAATGAAAATTTTTATAATAGATCAAAAAATGTAACCTGGCCCACTTTCAACTCGGTCCACCCGGGGTTGAACCTATGGTGGGTCGAGCTGTCCACCTAACCCACTTACACTCCCATCAATCCAACCCACTAATAACTCACTTAACCCATTTATAATAAATTGTTTTTTTTTTAATTTATTTTGTGTATTTTTTTTTTAATTACTTGGGTCAAAAAGCCGAATATAGTTCCATTTTATCCGCTAATTTGGTTCGATTATAAGTTAGTTTGAATAAATTTAAACTTTGATTTTGTAACGTAGTTATTTCATAAGGTTCAAAAATTTGATATATCGGATTTAGCTCAGAACGGGTCGTTCCCAAACTGGAACGGGCCGTTCTAAACTATTAAACTGACTTGAAAATTGTAGCTGAGGACGGGCCGTTCTAATGGGAGAACAGGCCGTTCTGGATGGAGAACGGACCGTTCCAAAAATAAAAACGGGGCGTTCTAAATGGAGAACGGCCCGTTTTGGATGAGCACCAGAACGGGCCGTTCTGATGTCAGAACGGGCCGTTTTGAATTAGATTTTTGTACGTGATGAAGGGGTCCAGAACGGGCTGTTCCGCATTTAGAACGGGCCGTTCTGGCCATTCCGAAAATTCTATAAATAGGGGTTGGTGGTTGAGGAGAAAGTGAGGTTTTTAGAAAGAAGTTTTTAGAGAGAAGGACTCTGGGTCTGTGAACTCATTTCTCTCTCAAATTTCTCTGTATGATTCATTTTCTCCTCTAATCACTAATGTTTTTTGTCTTTTCTTGAAATTCAGTTTAGGAAGCTTGCTTTGTGAGGATTGAAGTTTCGGGTTGAGCTTCGGAAGGGAATTCTACTTCTTCTCAATTATTGACTATTTTGAGTCAATCTTCAGGTGAGGGAAGCTTTATGCATGGTATTCTTTTGTTGAAATAGTTGAGTTGTTGGGTGCTTAAGTTGATTTATGCTGTTGACATGATAGATGAATTTTATTATTATAACCTAGTAAGTTATTTTAGAAGGCTCAAAAGCTCAATATGGGTGATTTAGTAGCCCAGAACGGGCCGTTCCCAAATTGGAACGGCTCGTTCTCCCTCCAGAACGGCCCGTTCTCAACTACAATTTTCAAGTTAATTTAGTATTTTGGAATGGCCCGTTATGGACATTAAATCACCCATATTGAGCTTTTGGGCCTTCTGAGATAACTTACTACGTTATAGATTTAAACCTAATATATTTTTATAACCGAATTAAATTACGTTTCAAGTCATCCAATTCGACCTAATATATAAAATTTATTTTAAAAAAGTATAAGAGAGAGAATCCTAAAATGGTATTTGAGATTTGAGGGAGGTTAGTATTACGAATGGAAAAGGTAAGGTTGTGGAGTAATAAGAGGCTGGAAATGAGGAGAGAGAAAGATCCACGCGCAGTTTTTCGTTTGCTCAGTGACATGTAGAGCCGTCAAAGTGGGCCGGCACTACTAGAAAAAGATTAATTAACATCGCCAATTTTACATCAATTTTAGTATAACTGATGTAAAAATAAAATGTAGTGGCAGTTTTGTAATTATTTAAAAAAATTAAAGCAAATTTACATCAGTTTTAAAGGGAAACGATGTAATATTAAGTATTCTACATCGGTTTATTGGGGACCGATGTAGTTCTGAAAGCACGGTGGTAATCTCGTAAATAAGAGAAAAAACTTAAATATATTTACATCAGTTCACTTTATGACCGATGTAGAACCTAGAGCTGTCAAAACGGGCCAGTCCGACCCGTTTGGCCCGACCCACCTCAACCCACTTTTTAAGTGGGCCAACCCGGCCCGGCCCACCAAATTTATTATGCAAATTTTCTAGCCCGGCCCGGCCCACCACGGGTTGGTGGGCTAAACGTGCCACCTGCCAACCCACCTGATTTAAAAAAAAATTTATAATTTAAAATAAATTTTAATATAAAATAATATTTAATCCAAAGTAAAAATTATTAAACTAAGTATCATGGATACAATATTAAAATTAAATTAATAAGTGTGCAACTTAAAAAAATTAAAACAAAAAAAATAAAAAATCTTTTATGAGAGTGATTATTCATCAATATTAAATTTTATTAGAGGTTTGGATAGATAAATTTATAGTAATTTCATATTGTTTAACATTAATTTTATCTTTATCTATAAAAAAATAATATCTTATTAAAATAATGCATATATAATAATAAATAGTTAAGTGAGTTTTTAGTGGATTGTTAGTAGATTTAGAGGATGGGTTGGTAAGTGGGTCAGGTGGGCCGGGTCAAAAGTGGGCCGGGTTACATTTTTTGACCCATTATAAATTTTTTTATTTTTTTGGCCCGGCCTGGCCTATTTTCAAGGTGGGCCGGGTTGACCCACTTGCTGGAACCTAATTTGACGGCTGAACCCAATAGCTTTCCCTCAATTGCGCGTGTGCCACCACCAAAGAAAGCCTCGCGCGCGGCATTGTTAAAGAACTCCTTCATCGTCTCTGAAGAAAGCCCTTTGCTTCCCATCGTTCTCCAAAGCCCTTTTGTTTTTCAGATTCTGATTCTGCAAGAACGTTAATCGTAAGCACCCAGAATCTTCTCAGTTCGTGAAAAGCATCATCATCGAAAACCCTAACTCCGGCAGGTATGTTCTCTTCCGCTTTCAAACTTCTGATTTTACGATAGTGATGATTGGAAAAAATAATGTTTCTTTTTTTATTAATCATTTCTCACATTGAGACTCAAAATCGTATCAGGGTTTCATAGTGATAATTTAATAAAGGTTGCAGTTTTGCAACTTCTCACGATGGCAAAGAGATCCCAATCCTCATGATTTGATAACATTACCTGTAAGTCACCATTATTAATTCTGAATCTCTGAGAAAGTTTGGTCAAACAACAGGTGAGAAAGTCTAGTAAAAGTTTCATATTTTAATGAAAATCCCTGAGCAACCAAACTTGCTTTAAGCATTTCCACATGTACTTCTTGTCTATGGTTAATTTAATTCAAAGCATGGTTTTAAATTAAGGTTGTAGTTGCAGCAGTTAACAATTGTTGAAATGACAGAAAATTATGAGAAAATGTGCAATGTCATTGTGGATACTTTAAAGTTAAAAAAGTTGCAAACTACAATTTAAAAGCATGGTTGATCATCTGCATTTATCTTTAAAGTACACCGCATTCTGACCCTTCAATATATTTTCTTATATATATATATATATATATATATTAAATTGTTATTTCGTAAATTAAGTCCAAATCATGAACACACTATCCACATCAGTAGTTTGAAACATGGATGTAGGGCCTAGTGCTACATCGACATTGGGAAGTGGTGACACCAATGTCCAAGTGTAATTTGCAATGAGGGCAGCATATTCCTCTTGCATGGCTTTAAGGCAATTCAAATCTTTGGTTGCTTGTTTGTATGTGTACAGGGTTCATTTGAACTCTGAAGAATGATTACAGAAACAGAAGACCTCGAATGATTACATCTTGAAAAAAGGCCATTAATTGTTTTTGGTTGTCTATTACTACCGTTTAGAAAAATAAGACAGCTTATTGATTGATGATGTTTATGCATGGTATGAATATAAAACTGCATCCTTAATTAACTGTGAAATATCAATTGCTCATTATACCCTGTTACTTGCGTGAAAGTAAAATATTTCAAATTGGGGAGCTCTATATATAGAACCTTTTTGATGAAAAAAGTTTGAATGAAAGATTTTGCGTGATTGAATTGGGTTCATGTATTTAGAAATAAATTAAATAGTGAGAATTCTTAATCTCTCTTAATATGAAAACCCATACTTAATGAGCTCTAATCAAATTCTCCTCAATTATATTAATTTTGTGAAAGTTTTTCCTTTATGTATTTAGTTTAAGCTTTTGAAATAATTAGTTTATGAAGCTTTAATAATTTAGTGGTTAGGACTTTCTTTTACAGTTTTTCTTTTCCACTTTGTTTAAATAGAAGATTAGTTGCTACACAGGATTTGTATTTGTAGTTTTCTATTTAAATAGTTGGTCTATTAGTTGTGACTCACATTCACGGTTTTATAGGATTAAGTTAATTGGTCTATTAGTTGTCACTCATATTCATGGTTTTGTAGAATTAAGTTAAGTCTAAATCCATGTTCTGCTAAGAATTTAATAAATAACTCTAAAGGGATTAAAGTGATATAAGTTTAATACTTCAAAAGAAACTTGCAGATATCTTTTAAAATAAATTGAAAAGTGTGGAAAAGTTTATTTGAGATTAACAAACCTTCTTTTCAAACATCCCTTTTTGGGCTGTGCCATTCCAATGGATGTCAGAGGCAGCCTTTGGATTCACAACCGGCAATAGGGAATTTTTGTGTGGGGGCATAAACTGAATCATCCTTGGCTAATAGTGTTCCAAAGTTAGGCAAGTTTTCAACAAGGTTGTTGGTGACAGAGGGTTTTGGAGGTTATTGCTTTGGTAGCATTACACATTTGAAGTCTAAGCAAGAGAAGTTGCAGAAGTTGGACTTGTCCCTTAAGCTCTTAGTTACTCTCCAACATGTCATACCCCATTACCCCAGTTTTTTAAAGTTGTTCTTAGAACTCTTGTAATTTTTAGAAAATCTTGCAGACTTCATTTTTAAGAATTAAAAGCATATCTAAAAGTGGAAAAGGAAACAGATATTAATACTGTTTCCCAAGCTGTTGAGACTAGTGACAACCACTTAAACAAAATTAAGGATCTTAACAACAGAAAATTAAGGATCTAATATATATGGGCTGAAATAAGATAATTATATTGTTGTACATATAAGAAATAATATTGAGATTTGAAAAAGGAAAATGTGTTTAAAAAATGTCTTATGTTGCTTCCTGATTCAGCAACAGGTTTAAACTTCTAAATGGAATTCAACAAGATAACAAAATAATAATCTAATATATATTGGGAGGAAACGAGGGAAGCAGTAAGTAGCATAAGATAAAAATGTTAATGCTCAAATTACTAACTATTAAGCATGCCAGACAACAATAAATTTAAATCCATTCTGCAACCAGCAATTCATAGATCGACTGTTTATTTTCTAATATTTACATTGTTTTTCATTTGATACTGTTTGGGTAGTCTTTTTTTAGATACATTTTTAATAGAGAAAATAGGAAGGAAAAATAGAATTACTAACTTATCTTTGTTTGATAAACTGCATTCATTTTACATATACTGATGGATTGCTTTTCAGTTTTCACAGTTACTTGTGGGTGCAGTTCTTGTAAATCCTTTTTCTCCCAGCAACTGGCCATTTTTAAGGAAGCAAAACTTGCTAGGTAATCTGTTTGTTTGACATAAATGTAAAAAGCAAAATGTTTAACTTAAAATATAATATGCCTTTTAATTTTGTAGTATGTCGATTTTTAAACTGGTGTGATATTTAGCAATTGGTTGCTATATTAAGGATATTTATAACTACTTTCCAGGCATGTTACATGTATAAACGTATGGGATTTGTATTATTTAATACACGCAGCTTTCTATTCGTTTTATCTGATTATCTCCTTATATGTCAAAATATTTGTGGCACTAAAACTTACAAAGCAAGTATACATTCATATGATTCTTTTATGATATTGAAGATGTTTATGCTTATGAGACAAAGAATCTACTGATATTGTCACAGCAAGCTCTCAAGTAAGTTTACCTTCAAGGGTCCTTTTAAAGATTGCCTAGTTTCATGGACTAATTGGCTTATGTATGTTATTTTGTGTCATGCTCTTGTAGAACCACGTACTTCCTTGAATCTTGCAACTTGTAACTTTGATTTGTTTTAATTGGGTTCCATTTTTCTCTCCCATTTTTCTAAATTAGTACTGTTAGTATTTTCTTGATGATGTTTGCTCAATGGCTTGAACAAGAGAGTAATGTAGTTGCTTTTTTTCCCCTGATATTCATATAATGGATTCATTGATCTTCTCTATAATGATTTGGCTGCAGATTCTTAATTTAGATGTTTGGAAAATATGTATATTAATCTAAGTAACATACATAAATGTATATTAATAAAATATGTATTAAATACAAGTTTATATTATCTAGATAAATCTTTGATTATAATTAAAAAACAAGACCAATAATATCTTAAGAAATGTATATAAGTTTTATCTTAGTTAAAAATTAAAAGCTAAAATAAACTAACAAAATAACTCAAAAATGTAAACATTTAAAGTGATATATTTATATGACTTTTATATTGTGTTTGATTGGAACAAAATAAAAGTGATAAAATGATTTTTATAGTTTCATTAGATTTTTAGGAAGGGAGGAAAATAGATGGAAATAAAATTATTTTTCATCTAATTTTAACTTTCATCTAATATTATCGAAATTTGAAGTGAAAGAGTCTTAAGAAATTTTTAATATAATTTTTAAATTATTTTTATTTATATTTTTAAATTAAATTTATAAAGATATAAAATAGGAACGGGCCGTTATGGATTTGGAACGGTCCGTTCTGCACTACATGGAATCTGATGCTCCCACTATAAATACACCCTCTACCCTTCATTCTCTTCATTCAGCTTCAACACTGCACCGATTGACCCTGAGAATGGAATACGTTAGCCCAGAAGGACTTCGCTTGGATGGTCGCCGACCCATGGAGGTACTACTATTATTTTCCACCCTTTTTTATTCTAATTTTAAAGTTTCATTAGCATATTAAATGCTGAACTTTATAAGTTCTTACATAGACACAACTTGTAGTAGCTTTTTGTTCATAGTTGGGCCATAGCTAATGGAAATGTGTAAGGGGGCATTGAACTAGAAAAAATGTGTTACCAAGTACACCAAGGACACATTTGGAATCAAATTATATTAGTGGAATTCGAAGAGGTTAGAAACAATAATCAACAAGGTCTGGCTCACCGTAAGTAGACAAGAACTTAGGTGATGCATTTTAGAGGATAAGGATAACGTGAAGTTATAACCGTTGATTAAGGATAAGCAGACAATACATGTATCACAAACTATGATGTTAAAATCTAAACAGCTATTACTGCACTATAGCCTCTATTGTGCACTTCCCTTCACTTTAGGGTAACCAAAATATATGATTTGTGTTTCTTTTTCTTTTGATCTTTGTCCTTACCATTTCCCCCTTCTTGGTATATCCTAGATGCGACAAATCCGTGCAGAGATTGGTGCCGTATCCAAAGCAGATGGGTAAATGAATTTTAGCTTTTTAAAAAATTAAGTTGTGATTTCATTTGAAGCATTTAACCTTTTTTTCATTGTGGAATTAGTTCTGCCATTTTTGAGATGGGTAATACAAAAGTTATTGCTGCTGTTTATGGCCCTAGAGAGGTACTTTTTAATTATTTACTTTGCTTATTCATGGTTATCTACATAAAATGAAGAAGGGTTAATATCTTTTATCTATGTTAATCAACTTAATGTTTAAAAAAGTGTTGAAGTTGCATTTGAGCTTTAGATGATTTTCTGTTTTTCTTTAGTAACTTCTATGCATTTCATTTCAGGTGCAAAATAGGAGCCAACAAATTAGTAGCCATGCTCTGGTAGATTTTTTCTTTTAAGTTATAATATATTGAGTGTATTGTTAGTGGATTTATTATATCCATTGTAATGAAAGCTTAATTTCTGTCTATGAGCTTTGTATGTCTGTAGGTTCGGTGTGAGTACAGCATGGCTAATTTTAGCTCTGGAGATCGCATGAGGAAACCTAAGGGTGACAGGTTTTGGTTATTTACTTGTTTAACTTTGTAATCTTTTTGCTTGATTTTTGTTATATTCGTACTTGTTGAAATGATATAGGAGTATTGACTAATAGGATAAGAGTGAATTTTGCATTAATAGAATCAATCTTAAGAATATCTTATAATTGTAAATGGTCTGTTTCATCTTTTGACAAAAGTAGGAATTAAACTGCAAAAGTAGAGATTGCGTGTAGACTTTTAGACTGACTTTTGGTTATTAATTATGAATTGTTTTATTTTTGGGTATTATTTATTTAACAATTATGTATAAACTATACAGTATAAATTATTCATCATTAAGTCATAATTTTTGGTATAATTTACTAGAGTGTTTTTGGGGTTGGTTGCTTCATGCTGTCATGCTTATGAGATTGATGATTACATGCTGAGCAATGGGCTATGTATCACAGAGCTGTGAAAAGTAAAACCCTTAGCATAATTACTGCCCCCCTCATTTTTTTTTATCATTTCTTTGAGCCTTAACTTTTATAGTCATCTGTGGCCAAAGTTTGCATATATTTTTCAACTTGCTTAACCATCAACATTTATGGATATAAATTTTATTTTAGCTTGTTTTGCTTCTCCTTCAGAGTTTTTAATTTGGTTTTCCTTGTAAGGTACTCTTACACAAGAATAATGCGATGACCTCTTATTTTTACTACTTTGGTTGATTGAAGTTTTCTCATGCTACAGGAGATCAACTGAAATTTCTCTGGTTATTCGCCAAACCATGGAAGCGTGTATATTGACACATTTATTGCCGCGTTCCCAGGTTTTATTACACATTCAAAACTTTTTTTGTATAAATGTAAATTATCTTTTATTTTTAAATTTTATATGCTTTAATTATTAAATTTGCAGATAGATATTTATGTTCAAGTTCTCCAAGCAGATGGAGGTAGCTAAGACCTGATAATGGGATATTGTGATTGTCATTTTATATTCTCTCTTTTCTACTCTTATAACATGTGGTTTAAGTTTTTTCAATTTTGAAATATGTCATTGTACTTTTATATAACTTTTTTTCTCGACATGCCTTTGACAGGAACTAGATCTGCTTGTATAAATGCTGCAACTTTGGCCCTTGCCGATGCTGGGATCCCTATGCGTGATCTTGTAACTTCCTGTAGTGCTGGATACCTTAATAGCACCCCTCTGCTCGATATATATATCTTTTACTTGAAACTTTAACTGGCTAAATCCAAGGGTGGTGGGTCTACTTTTATTTCAGTCAATATTTGAATCTTGGTCTATCATAATTATTAAAAGTTGGTCAATGAATATGAACAGATTTGAACTTCATAGAAGATAGTGCTGGAGGTCCTGATGTAACTCTAGGAATTCTGCCGAAGCTGGATAAAGTGACACTTCTCCAGGTTAATCTTCCATGTCTTGTTATTTTCTCTATTTCTTTCGTATCCAGAAAAGTAAATTAATTCAGGAAAAAGGAGAAATTTTATGCTCCCTTGCAAATTCCTGGATAAGTGATGGAGTGTGTTGTTGTTGCTTGTATATTGTGAAAGTTTCTACCGTCCTTACTCTGGGTATTACCCTTTTGAGCCCTTGAGCTGTTGACCCATCTTTTTTCAACTATTGCTTTCTGTCATTGATAAACCTTTTGGTTTTCAAGCTGTTATACCTCTCCCTCCTTCCAAAATTGTTGTGTGCAAGATTTTGGATTTGACTCATTTAAAGTAATGGCTGTGCTTTAGTGGGAATAGTTCAGACTTCAGAGTTTTAATCCTTGAGCAGCATTATCATGAGCAGCATGCAGTGCTTTTCTTTTAAACTCCAGTTTATTTTATCAAATTTTCTCAAGTATTCACTGACTGTCATTCCGTAATTTAGAGGGAAAAAGCTTTTAGTTTAATTTTATTTGCACTAATTTCTTGTTATTGGCTGTAGATGGATTCTAAACTACCAATTGACCTTTTGGAAAATGTAATGCAACTGGCAATTGAAGGCTGCAAAGCAATAGCAAACTACATTAGAGAAGTAAGAACTATTGTCAATTGTGATTATACTAAGAGGAGTCAAAACATAGTTCACACTCATTTCATTACTAAAATCCCGATTTTGTTGGCTGGCAGATTTTACTGGAGAACACAAATCAACTCGAGTATCGACGAGGTGTATAGTTTTGTAGCAAAAGTATTGTTTCTTATTTGCTTCCATTTAATGCTTTCTATTTATTTCCTATTTTACTGGAAACATTTATTTTGGTATACGGTGCTGACTAAAACGTAAATTGTAGTCTGTAGGATTGGTTTCTCATTTCTTCCAACTTGCCTTGTCGACTGAAGTAGCAAATTTATAAATTATTTTGAGTTCATGTTCGTTGTTTACCAAAAATCCCCCAAAAGTAGAAGGCATGTGGAGTGGAACTAGGGATCTGAATCTGGCACTCTAACAATTAGAGAATTAATTATCTAAAGTTAGAACCAAAATCTTATAGTGGGTTGGTTGCGTATGGTCGTTGCTAAAGAACGTTGATGTTTAATTTCATAAGTTGCCTTGAATTTTGGAGAAATAGGTACGCCAAAATTCGATAAAGAAAGCTTTGTTGTTTAATAGTTTGGAATGGGCCGTGTTGATTTTGGAACAGGCTGTTCTGGATTATTAAAAAGGCCTTAAACCCTAGTTTGGAACGGTCGTTTTGGTTTTGGAATGGGCCGTTCTGGGCTACTAAAAAGGCCTTAAGATGCTTGTTTGGAACGAGCCGTTCTAAAATAGGGTTTCAGGCCTTTTTAGTAGCTTAGAACGACCCGTTCTAGTTTTAGAACGGTCCGTTCTAGTTTTAGAACGGCCCGTTCTGGGCTACCATGGAATTCAATGCTCCCATTATAAATACATTCTCTACCCTTCATTCTCTTCATTCAGCTTCACCTTACCTTCACGATTTCATTCGTTTTCTCTACCCCTATTAGGCCTTTTCTCTGAATCACATTCATACGATCGCATGGAAGTAGCACCAGTTTCAAATGTTGTATAAGTCCTTCGTTGAATTGTGTGTAGACTTTTAGACCAACTTTTGGTTATTAATTTTGAATTGTTTTATTTTTGGGTATTATTTATTTATCAATTATGTATAAACTATACCGTAGAAATTATTCATCAAGTCATAATTTTTGGTATAACTTACTAGAGTGTTTTTGGGGTTGGTTGCTTCATGCAGTCATGCCTATGAGATTGATGACTACATGCTGAGTAATGGGCTATGTATCACAGAGCATTGAAAAGTAAACCCTTAGCATCATTACTGTCCCCCTTCATTCTTTAATTCTACATAATTCTTACATATAAAAATTTCATAAATAATTTAATATTGAGAGGGATAAATAATTCTTCACAAATTTCATCATAAAATTTTTTAAGCTATTTGTGACGGAATTTGTGACAAAATAAAAATGTTAACAAAAATTTCGTCACAAAACCCATTACTGACTTATTTATTATAGTATTATGATGCATTTTTGTGGGGAATATTTATAGAGAAATTTAATCCGTCACAAAATTCGTCACTAATTTTATTTTTCTTTAGTGACGGATTAAATTTTGTCTCTAAAAAATTCGTCACTAATTTTATTTTTTTATTCAATGACGGATTAAATTGTCTCTAAAAATCTGTCACAAAATTCGTCACTAATTTTATTTTTTTTTGTGACGGATTTTTTAGAGACAAAATTTAATTCGTCATAAAATCCGTCACTAATTTTATTTTTTTATTTAGTGACGGATTAAATTTTGTCTCTAAAAAATCTGTTATTAATTTTATTTTTTTATTCAGTGACGGATTTTGTGAAGGAATTTTTAGAGACAAAATTTAATCCGTCACAAAATTCATCACTAATTTTATTTTTTTTATTTAGTGACGAAGAGAAGCTAAAACATAAATTGAGAATATTTAAATGGACTAAAACATAAATTAAGTGATCTTACATGAACAACATTCTAAAGTTTCCATACTCTACAATATCACACTTAGTCTCAACATGACACTATAATAATATGTCATCTTCCACACGTATAAACCAACACTATGTAACCAAAGCATACTACACATAAAATAAAAGTGATCAACCATATTGAGATCAACCGTGATGTATACCATATTATAAGAAATCATGCACTCAAACCATGATTCATCCAAATCATCACGGATTCAAAATATGGTATGTACAACTTTTAAGTAGTTTTTGTTGAAGTAAAATTTTTTAGTATACATGTTATGATTGAATGAGAATAAAAGAAATCTTTATATTGTTTATACAAAGGCTATGTTCTCTCAAAACATCCAGAAAGTTTTAGCTCCTATACAATTTTTTAATATATTTTAGTTCCTACATTTTTCAAAAGTCTTGATGTTTATACCTTAATCAAAGGCCAAAATATGTGTTATATCAAAATACAGAAACTAAAAATATATTAAATTTTCATAGAAATTAAAACTAAATTTTCAAACATTTTAAGAGAAAAAAAAATATGTTTTACATTTTCAATATCATTATAATATTTAAGTGGTCCAAAAATAAATACATTGAGCACATATGCTAGAGCCCTTTATTGTTTATATTATTAAAATCAACCGTTCATTTTCCTCTTTAATTTATTATTATCAACAAGATGGTCATTATTTTTATTATTTTATTATTTTTAAGCATAGGTGTCTTAAAGGTATTAGTTTAAAAAAAAACTAATAAATAGAACTTTTTAATTGAGAATCACGGTGAAAACATATCAATAACACGTTATATATATTCAATTTCTTAATCAGTATTACAAGAAATTAGTATTCCTTTTTAAAAAAAAAAATAGATTACAAATTAGAAAAGAGAGTTAACCAAAAAGTTTAACTCAATTGATTGAATAAGATGTGGCAAGTTTAATTAAATTATCATTATGACAACACCATACTTCCCTTTGTTCTGTATATAAATTTAAAGGAGTGAATGAGGAAAAAAAATCAATTAATAAAAGAGACAATTGTAAGATAAAACAAAAAAGAAAAAGAAAAATACTATATATTGAAATTTGTTAAAGACAGAATTAAGGAGAGGGAGTAAATATCAAAGAGTCATCCAATATTTCCGAAAGCCACAAGGCCCATAAACAATATGGAACTGTTTGTTGCCCCCATCAATAAGTGTCTCAATTCTACATACTAGAAATGCCTAATGATCTCACCCTCTTCTTTTTTTCTCCTTCAACTTCATCATACCTCAAAACAGAACTATATGATCCAATCATAAAGTCGAAAAAATATTATGTGCAACCGTTTTTTACGAAAAAGTGTAACATTATTCCACTATCTTTATATCCACCCAACTTTTTATTTGTCAGTTGTGTTATTACAAAGAGCTTGCTGTCACACCAAAGTAAAATATCTCTATTCAATGCCCCTGAACAAAATGATGATAAGCTGATCGTACCCTTTCACACGAGAAGAAAATAGAAAACCAACCCATCTAATAAAAATACATCAAGTGAGGAGTAATTATAATTTTATGAGTTAGTGTTGTAATGTTAAATTAGGTTATAAACCTGCATTTAAATAGGTAGCAAAGTCTATTCTTACAATAATTATAGGGTCTATCATACTTCTAACTATCAACCTATTATTAAACTACTCATAAATATTAAATTTCATAAATTTTACATTTGAGATGTGATTAAGATGTTACATAGACTAATGTTATAACTATCAAAGACTTAGAATTATTATTTTTCAAGTTAGCTCAAACTCCCTAAAACCAACCCAAAGTGAACTTTTCAAACATAATTGTCTTGAGTAATTAAAAAATAATAATAATAATAAAATAAAGGAATTTAACTCTACCCCTCTACCCTTGCCACATGGAGCAGACGTTATTAATGGAGAGAAAGTTTGACCTTCAATTATTTTCCGGTAAAAGGGGACTCCTTTCCAAGATTTTATAGACATGAATAGGCCCTTATGATCTACATGGTCCTCCCCCACTTACCACTTCTACCATGTGAGCCACAGCCCAATTTGTACCATTACTTACATTACATTACAGATATATTTGTAACGGTTAGGAAGCATTACACGAAGATACTTAGATACAAACCCATCACGAATCACATCCCCTTTATGGGACATAGATAGAAGGGTTTGCAAATATTGTCTTCACATGCCCTTCCCACACCGACTTCCTTCAATAAAGTTGGCAATGCCATCGTGTGGGACCCTATTAGCTTTCAATACATTTACAAACCCAATGTGCTCGTACAACAATACCAGTCCCATAAATTAATTTCCCCATTAAAAGATATTCATATCTCTACAAGGGCAAAGTTGGCATTAGACTATTTGTTTATAGACAAAGTTTGAATATAATACCTATAGTACTATAATACTATTGATATTTTCCAATAAAAGAACTTCTTGATTATGTGTATAATAAATATATTTACGAGATCTACATTAAACGTGCATAAATATATGAAACTTTAATTCTGATTAAAAAGTATTTACATTTTGTCCTCTGTTTATTTGTTTTCCTTCTGGTTTAACCTCGACAAGCAGCATTCCATAAGAGGAATGAAGAATAATTTATAGCTAAGTTGACAACACATAGATTTGGAGGCATGCATAGCCACAGCAAGTGGCATTATAATAAACTTGAGGGTCTCAAAAATAGAGGAATTGAGATGAACCAAGGCTCATAGAAAAAGGGAAAGAGGAATATAAAACTCCCACCTATATATCATTATGTACATATTATAGAATGCAATGTCTAGTAAAGATGCATAACAGCTAGACAATCCCTGTCACTGGCCTGATAATAAAATTTTGGGGGGATGTCTTTGATAAATCTGGCATAAATTAAAAAAGATTCTAAATAAAAGGGTTGTTCCCAATGCAACGGTCCAATAGCTTTTCTTTTCAAAATGGCCAAAATACAAATGGACAAAGATGCCCCATTGATACTAGCCAGAGGTAAGTCCCCACCACAAGGCCACAACCTTCATTTCCCTCCAAAAAGTTTCACTAAGAAATAAAGAACCTGTGTTGTGGGGTCAGTGCCTCCTGCTCCTCCTGCTACTGCTACCTTTGCTTTGTTGAAGTGAATTTTTTAACCTTGCTTTGGTGCTGTGAGAGATACACTTGACACTGTAGAACAGTTTTACCAATCCTAAACCCTGGAACCACAGTGAAAGCAACATGTGGATCTGATTCCACTGAATAGAGGAACATTTCATCATTCACACTTTCCATGTACACATCAGAGAATCTACACCCTCTCCCCACTTGAAAGATTGAGACCTGAGGCTCAAATGAGAAGGCCAAGCAGTGCAGGAGCCATACCCTCTTGGCCATCTCAGCAAATGATGTGAAGAATGCAGTGTCTGGAAACCCTCCAGCATTCACAATGTTCCTATGACTCATGTTGCCAAAAAATGATGACTCCATCTTGGGGTGAACAAGCCTCAAATACTTGACCCTGCAAAACTTTGCAAATGATGATCTTGGCCTCTCAGCAAGGAAGTCCTTGGCTTTCATTGATTTCACCTCATTGAACTTCCCAAAGAACCACTGTGGCATCCTGCTTCTATCAGGGAGAGACTCATTTGCAAGGGAGAAATTTGGGAAGTGAAAAGCATCAAACATTTCTCTACAAACAAAGGCCTCAATTGCAAAACACTTGTGATCTTCCACCAAATAAGCCACATTCTGCTCAATGGCATCAACTGCAGCATCAACATCCCAACCAGAAGATCTCATCTCATCCACAATCAACCTCACAAAGTTCCGAATTGACCTAACCGCGTGGCGAAGAACGGTTACAAAATGGCTAGGATTTAGTCCTGATATGTGAAGATTATCAAGCACAGAAGATAATTGCCCACTTTGATTCAACCTCTTCTCAATTGCCTTGTTCTGCTTATTAGCCTCCTCTAGCTTCTCCCTAAGAAATATGATCTCAGAATCCTTGAGCCTCACCTGTGACTCCAACTTCTTCCCCATGATCTCATAGGTCTTGATCACACCCTGCAGCTCCTTCGACTCAGCCGCGAGAATCTCCGTCTCCGGAGAAGAATCAAACTGTTTCTTCAAGTAACATTGCTTTAGCTCAGACAAGTTCTTCAACTCAGACACCAGCAATTGATCAGCAGCTTCAATTCCATCAGGGTCAAAGGGTGACTGAGAAAACTGAAGCTGTGCATATGCAGCCTTAACAGATGAAATGCTAGCAAAAAGCTTTGCTAAAAGAGCCTCGTTGGCCACTCTCTCTTGAAGCTCTTCATCTTCATCTCTTGACCAATTATTATTCAGTGCAGTCTTATTATTCACCATGCCCCCTTCATCCTTGAGATTTGCATCAGATATAACAACATTCTTCAAACCATCAACTGAGGCAATTCCAATCAATGCTTTCACATGAAGAACCTTGGCGAAACTCCGAGCCAACTTCTTTCGTGGGGTCACAGCCGAGGGCTTCACTGATTCCATCTGCACAAGAAGCCACCACCACACCAATGTCTGCAAATGCAGATCAGAATTGTGAACTATTGAAATGTGTACGCTGTATGCAAGTGGCAAAATCTTTAAAGGAGTCAGAAGAACAATAAAATAAAGCCATAACACGATGGTTATCATGATGAGCATGTTCAACCAAAAGCTATTAACAAAACCAATATTAAAAAAAAAAAAAAAAAAAGTGATGCTTTAACTCATAGATCGAGGCACTTTAGTAGAGGAGGGAATTTTTCTTTTTGTACTACTCCATCTACTAAAATTTTATTGCGTGCCCAATTTAAATAATATCCAAAAATTGTTTCTTTTTCTTTTCATAATCATGTTATAAGATAAGTACTAAATATTACTCGTCTCTATCAAAAAAATCTTGTTGACCACATTCAGCAGAATTTTTCTCTCTAATCATGTTTTCTCATGAACAAAATTTAAATTCAAGATTTTATTTAATAAGATGGAGTCTAATATCATTTAAAGTAATGACATGTTAATCGAAAAGTTGTTCTAACACACGGCGTGTAGGAACCAAGAGAATAGAAACCTAAGGACAAGATCTAAAGATACATTAAAAAGCTCAAAATTGTAGTTTATCCACGTAATCCTAGGCACCTTGTCCTAGATGGCAATTTTCAACATTATTCTTAACACAAGATTCAGTAATTAAAAATACGTAAAAAAATAAATAAAATGTTTTATTATTATTATTATACCGTGAAAATTATTATACCGTGAAAAGGGAAAACTTTAGGCCCTGATTTAACACTACCACCTCCCAGCAAGAAAACAAGGTCATCATTTCTACAAACTTTATCCTAATTTGGCTTCAAGGAGCGTAGGAAAAATAGGTCCATCACTCAATTAATCATACCCTCTCTTTAGTGAATTAGTTTCTTTGCCATGAATTATTATGTAAGTTATAATGATTAAAGACGGTCAACATCAACCCTAATTGCATTCACTTCCCATATTTTACAATGGAATGGTGAAATCCAATTATAAATTCAGTTAAATTATAACTTTTGTAGGGCAATCATTGGATCTAGGTAGATCATAGTTGAATTTGCCACTCTCAATGTGACCAATAAAAAAATACTGACAATTATTTTCTATTAAAGAATATAGATTAGCCTGATTCATAATCCTTAAGATTCCCTGAGTTTTGCATATCCAACACCTTTATCTCTAGCTATGCAGTAAGAACCCATATAAAAGTGAATAAATCTGACATGGAACAAGGGGTATTAACAAAAGAAAAAACAAAAATCTAGTAAATATTGTTCCACAAACAAAGGACCTCAATACAACAAACATTTTTTTTAATCACATATTTTATTTATAATCTTAAAACAGATAATTAAAGGATAATTAAAGACTAATTTATACTTGTAGAGTATAATTTTCATTAACCAAACATTATTTTAAATCCAACATGTTACACCAAATCAACTCTTATGTCTCAATACAAGCCTTCCTTCCAACTACCGAATCAAGAATTACGAAACATTTAAAATAGTTTAGAAACAATTTTCTAAAAATTAGTCACTAAAAATCCAAATAAATGATGAAAAATCATTTTTGTCACACCAAAATTGAAGAAAAAACATGTCACTAAATTTAGTTAGTCATTAATTATTTAATTTTCTGCAGTTCCTGTAAAAATAGGCCCAGGTAAAATAACCTAACCTAAACAAAATAGCTTTCAGAAAATTTATCACCCAACACATGGTAGAGAAGACATTTATATCACCCAACAGTATGCGTGCTTAGTAGGCCGGCAAGAGATTAGGGTAAAAGAAAAGAAAACATGAAAATGAAATGTCTTCACAAAGCATCATTTTATATATAAGTTATTTATTTTATTTTTTATTTTTTTTTATTAATTTAAGTTTAAACAATTAAAAAAAGCTGGTCATTTTTTCTTGTCTCTAAAAAAGTTAATTATTCTCAAGTATTTTATGATCCTACGGAACAAATAGACAATAATATTTTAGGTAAATAGACAATGTGATGATTGTACGTAATAGTTAAGAGAGATAATTTATGCTTCCCGTGACTAAAATCACGGCCTCTGAGCACTTGTACTGCGTAAAACTGTACATAACGTCAAAAATCAGAAAGCTATGGAAGAATATTATTACTGCACTTAATTACCACTTAACTATTCTTTTGTAATAATTGTTAACATAAAAAATAAACGTAACGTTTCTTTGACAAAAGAAGGTACTACTACCATTATTAAAAATTGAAAAGTAAAAGAAAAAGATAAAGGTGAACCAAAAATTCAAAAATAATGGCATGATCAAAGAAATTATGAGAAAATATTTTTCGGACAGAGAAGTTACAGTACCACACACTAACACCTTTGCAGGTTAATGTCATTTCAACATCCATTATGTCAGAAGCTCACATGCCTATCATTAAAAAAGGTCAAAATCTTACAACATGAGATTCTTCATGCTCTATAAAATCCATGTTTTACCTTCCAAAAAATAAAACACAGGACAAATATCGAGACCCAAAAATTATATTCTTCCAAAATCAAAATTGAATGAAGCATCATGCTTTGAGAATTGGGATGAGAGCAATCAATGGCTCAATAGAGACAAGAAAGAACCAATAACTATGCATGAATGAAGCATGCTTAAACCATTGCTTTCCCATAGTCACGGCTAATTTTTCTACTAATGGTACATACACTTTCCGAAAGCATTTTCTTATATACACACACCCATCATGAGAAAATATTCTTGTATGATTACATGAGTATGTACTATTAGATTAGGTTGTGTAAAAATCCCAATACTAGAGATTAAACGTACCTTGAGAAATATCACGAGAAATTGAGGGTGAAAGAAGGTGTCAACTTCTCGTCATTGGGAAACGTAAATCTCAAGAAAACAGACAGAGCAATTAAAATACGATGTTATTATTTGTATTATTTCTTCTTGTTCTCTAACTTCACAACAAGTGCGACCCTGGTAGAAACACCCTGTAACCAAACACAAGCATCAACCATCAAGAGAAAGCAAATACAACAAAAATCCAAAAGGACTTTTCTCCAAACACGAAAAACAACACCACACCCGAAAGTGGCAAAACAATGAACGCCATTAACAACAACAACAACAACAACCCACATGATCAAAAACAAAACAAAAAAAAATGATCATCAAAACGTGTCTTCAACCAAACCAAGAGACCCAACAAAGCAAAAGGCTTAAAAATGAAAACTTTTCCCTCGGGGGGTGATAAAAACACCATTTTTGGCCTTCAAAATCCAACCATGACCCCAAAAGCCATTCATTCAGTTTCATGGGAAAACAACATAAAAGGTAGAAAAATGGGGTAGCGTTGTTTCAAAGTTTACCTCGATATATTGAAATGGTTCCTAGAGTGAATGGAAAAATGAAGCAGTTAGAAGAAAAGTTGAAGAGTTTGTGTTGTTGAGGCTGTGTAGGAGAGACTAGTTGGGGCGTTTTGCAGGGACAGAAAAACCACAGCTGGAGGACAGAGAAAATTCTAGAAAGAGAGAATTTAATGAGAATGAGGAGAGAGAGAGAGAGTGGGAACTCAGGAAAGCAGAGAAGAAAGAAAAACAGAGGAAAGAGAGAGAAAAAGAAATATTTGAAGTGACCAAAAGAGACACCGATTGTAAAACGTCCCAACGAATATGACTTTTGAGATTTTAGAGCGCCACGAGGGTCGACTCAATTTATTATTTTTTTTATAAAATTATAAGGTATAAATTTTTTAATTAAAATTAATTTGGGGATATATTTTTAGTCAAGTTGGTGTAAAACTTATTTTAATAAGAATGAAAATGAATATACTTAAATGTTGAGTTTGACTTTCACTCATCTCGTTTGATTTCAAATTAGAAAAAAGATTTAAATAACTTTTTATTGACTAAAATAAAAATTTGTATTTTAGTTGTTTTAAAATAAAATATTTTTGCCTTTGTAAATGTGCTTTTTATTTTTGTTCTTATCATTAGATTAATGGTTAAATTTAATGAAAAAAGTCAAAAAAATATTATAAAGATCAAAATCTAAAATAACAAAAAATTATAACAATCAAGATAAAAAAATAAATAAATAATATTTAAAATTTGAGAGGATCAAAATAAAAATATCAAAAATTTGAAATAATTATAGTAAAAATAACTAAAATTAGTGGAGTCGAGACACTTCATATCTCTATTAAAGATAAAATAAAAATAAAAATAAAAATATATTGGTCTAATTAATATCATAATTAATTCATTGGTTTCAACTTCTTGAATTTGATTAAAAATATTTTTTTAATCTTTTAAAATAAAAGGATATAATGGTAAAAAATATAAAAAGTAAGGTGATTACTAAAAAAAGTATCCCATTTATATATTAGTACAGATAAAATTATTTTATTTTATAAAAGACTAAATATTTATTTGATACAAATTCATAAAATTTAAACTTTAATTACAATAAATACCCTAATATATAATAATAAAAATAATTATAATAAATATATCGATGAATAACAAAATAAAATTATAAGAATTAAACATGAGTTTTGTAAAAGTCATAATGGCATAATTACCATTACAAGTGTAAAAAAAATATATAAAAGTAGAAAAAGTACATATAAAATTAAGTTGAGATAGATGAATAACAAAATAAAATTATAAGAATTAAACATGAGTTTTGTAAAAGTCATAATGGCATAATTACCATTACAAGTGAAAAAAAAATATAAAAGTAGAAAAAGTACATATAAAATTAAGTTGAGATAGTTAAACAAATTGTAACTGTAACGACCCGCCATGGTCTCTACATTTAGTGGAATCGCACTACTGCTAGTGAAACTAAGAGAAATATTAAGCTGAATAACTCATACATACATGTACAAATAAAAATGAAAATAACTAAGTTTCCAGTAATAAAATAAAACTCCATATATGTACAGTCATCCCAAAAATAATATTCCTTAGTGCCGGTCAAGCACAGACAAAACCGCTATCCAAAATGGTAACTCTAACACGAGGATCAAAACTCCCCGTCTCGCAGCGGACACCTCAACTCCAAGCTAGTCCTGACCTGCTCCCATACCAAGTATGATCATCGCAGTTCCACCACATGGAAACATAAGGGTAAGCTAGAGTTCAAAACCAATCATACAAGTACAGAATAAAATCTATACTACACATCATCCAACTATCAATCATATTCATAGAGTCACACCATACACTCTATCCAATACTACTCATGCATAAAATACAATCCACCAATCATGAAGTTAAACACCACACTTCATGATATTAATAATCATCCAATAAATGCATCTCATGACAGATATCAATGCATATCAATCATCTAATGCATTGTCACGTATATACCTAGGAGATCTCCATAACAATAGAGTTGTATAAGTGACATTCCATCCTACCGAAACCACCCCAACCGTTTTCACGCCCAATGCGCCCGCTCAGTCACAGCTAAACAGGATATAATTCTCACTCGGGTTTACTCGGATGATGTCACTTACACAAAGTGTCGTAAGTTCCTCCTTGGGGTTGGACCACTTTGCATGGAGGGGTGACATCTCGGGTTGCTACTCAGCGGCATCTGGGTATCGCTTTCTAACCCCGGTACGGTCATCGGAGGGGGATGAAGTTTGGAAGAAGCTTTGGAAGGTAATGGTCCCTGAGAAAGTGAAGTTTTTTTTTGTGGCAATGCCTTCATTTAGCCCTCCCAACGAATCAAGTTCGGGATGATAGGAGGTTGGCCGAGTCTGGTGCATGCTCGCGCTGTTCTTGCCCGCGTGAGACCATTTTACATGCTCTTCGGGACTGCCCGTACTCGCGGGAGGTGTGGATGTCTGGCGGGGTCAGCATGGGGTGGCCTTTCTCAGTAATGGACTGTTTTCAGTGGCTGAAGGGAATTATTCTGCACAAGGATGTTATTGAACTATCCATCACCTTGTGGTGGGTTTGGCGGTTTAGGAATCACATGTTGTTTAATGGCGAGCTGTGGCGGGTTTTGATGATCTGTCGGAAAGTGTTGCTGTCTACGGTGGAGAACAATGTGTATAATACTAAGAGGCGTTTAGGGGTGGAGCAAGCACTATGGAGGCCCCCAGAGCACCCGTGGGTCAAGTTAAACACGGACGGGAGTTGGTTGAGTGGGTCTGCTGCTATGGGGATGGGTGGCGTAATTCGTGATTGGGCCGGTATGTGGCGGGGGGCTTTTCGCGTGGGGCTTCACAGGGAGATGCGTTACGTGCGGAGTTGTTGGCCTTGGAGGAGGGCTTATTGCTTTGTTGGGAAGGAGGATTTCGGAAAGTGAGCTGCGAATGTGATTGCCTGGGAGCTGTTACGATGCTGCAAGATCAGTCACCGGATAGGGACTACCTACATAAACACTATGATGTCATTCGTCGTGTTAAGCGAATGTTAGCTCGGGACTGGGTAGTGGAAGTAACCCACAAGTTATTGATTTTAATCCTCTTAATTCTAATTATTTTTATTTTAATGCTCTTAAATTTAGTTATTTTCATTTTAGTCCTCCCAATTTTTTTTGTTTTAGTCCTTTTCTATTGTGGTCCTTATAATTTTCTCATTTGTAACACTATACGTCTTAGTAATTGTTGATGAATTTATTAAAATGTATATTGTTATGTTGATTTTTGTTTTTATATTGAGAAACTCTAGAACTAAGGAATTCCTTATGAGTTTTTAGTTGTTTAAAATGATTTTTTGGATAGATGTCCAGTTTGACTATGAGGGAAAAGTATAGATATAAAGTTTTCCTTAAAACTTCAACTTTATAAGTTTAATTTTTAAGAAAAAATATAGGGAAGTTAGAGAGAAGATCTCTAGGCAGAAAACCTTCTTCTTCCTTTTTTTCTACTAAAAACTGTAACGACCCGCCATGGTCTCTACACTTAGTGGAATCGCACTACTACTAGTGAACTAAGGAAAATATTAAATTGGATAACTCATACATACGGGTATAGATAAGAATAAAATAACCAAATTCTTTAAATACAAAATAAAATGCCATATATGTACAGTCATCCCAAAAATAATATTCCCTAGTGCCGGTCAAACAGACAAAAATCGCTACCCAAAATGGTAACCCTAACACGAGGATCAAACTCCCCGTCTCGCAGCGGTCACCTCGACTCCAAGCTAGCCCTGATCTGCTCCCATACCAAGTATGATCATCGCAGTTCCACCACATGGAAACAGAAGGGTAAGCTAGAATTCACAAATGAATCATAATAATCTATACTACACAATCGTATTCATAGAGTCACACCATACACTCTATCCAATACTACTCATGCATAAAATACAATCCACCAATCATGAAGTCAAACACCACACTTCATCATATTAATAATCATGCAATAAATGCATCTCATGACAGATATCAATGCATATCAATCATCTAATGCGTCGTCACGCATACACCTAGGAGATCTCCATAACAATAGAGCTGTATAAGTGACATTCCATCCTACCGAAACCAC